TTCAATAAAAAGAGTCTCGTTTTCAATGCGTTTTATTGTTATGAGTCATTTTTAATGATATTACACCTTTCTATAAAGCCCCTGCGTATCATCCTGAGATACTGAGTCTCTACACAATTTGGCTTCGGCCGTAACAATCCCATGTCGCACTTCCAAGACGCACATTATTCTGTCATAGGACTGAAAAAGAAGCAAAGAAACAAAATTGTTTTCACCTCATAGCTCTAAGACATTTCTTTCCAAAGAGGTAAGGGAGACTAAACGTGCTTTGTAGGTACAGTTCGCTGACGTTTGGACTAGTGCTAAAGTAGCAGTTTCACTCAGTGATATTAACTTCGTTTCCTTTATCGAGACTGATGAGATCAATGCTACTTAACTGAAAACACTGAACAGATTCCGCCGCCATATTCGTCAACTTCACCACTTACCACGGGACTATCTTGCTATCTCATCGAATTTTTGGCCAAACTCTTCGCGGATTTTTGCCAAATTCGCCATTACTATTTTCGCCAATTTCGCCATTGTTTTCAAATTTGCCACTTCTGAAGGGGTCCTTCTTGACATTTCATCGAATACTCAAAAAACCGATGGCGAATTTTTGCCATGTTTGCATTTCGCCACATTCTCCTAGTTATTATTTTTTCCTCATATTGTTGACAAAATTTTGTCAAATTTGTCATTTTCGTTGTTGTGTGAATTTCTGGACATAGGTGCCTGTGGGCTCAGAATTTAGCTACATTAGAACAAGTTGTCTATCTGTTCTGTCTTTTATTTTCAAATTTGCCACACTATACAAATCCATTAAATACGAGAAAAAAGATTGAAATAAATAAATTATTATGCCCAGGAAACCCAAATAAAACACTGGGCCTACACAACATTGATAACGAACTTTTTTTTAGTCACTTTTGAAGAATACATTAAATGCATTAAAAATGTTAGGGCCTTGGAAAGAGACCGAAAACTGTCTTTATTTATTCTACAGTGCGGTAAGCTGTCATACAAATTAGGCCGGTTCCCACTAGGCCGCTAAGTGCACTTGAAAAGTCTATTATGAACCCACCTATTATCTTAGAAATTCTGTGCTAATTACCTTTCACAGCAGCAGATGTGCAGACGATCAGTAGCAAACAAGCACTCGTCACCGTCACGGACGGGGAATCCAGGCGGACACTCCTCATAGAATTCAACGGGTATCGTCCCAGGCACATCACCACAAAACTTTGCTGTTTAGGACAGGCAAACTTACTTTAAAAGTTCTTCGAAGTAAAATACTGTTTTATTAACATTATTTCAACAAATGAACTGGTCTGGTGAATGAACTTTGATATCATTTCTCTAGACATACTAAGTGGATAGGGAAGAGTGGGTTGGGTTCTCGAATGCTTTTTATTGGCCTGCCTGTGGCACAGCCTAATACTAAATGAGCTTTCTCCGTCGAAAACAGACAAAATGGTAGATAGACCACCCAGAGGGTATTGCGCGCGGTAATTCCGGCAATAGAGCCGCTCATTTAACTTTTCTCGGGATGGGATGGGTCATTTTCTAAAGGCTGCTTTTCACTAGCGGCGGAGTCGGAGTCGGAGTCGTAGTCGTAAGCGGAGTCGTAAGAGCGCTTATGACCTAGTGAAAATGAAAAATCGGAGTCGTAAGCGGAGTCATTAGCGCGACGGAATCGGTGTCAGAAGAATCAGAACGTTTCCATTTCTTCCGACTCCGCTTACGACCGCTTCCCTTACGTTCCGCTTATGATCTAGGGAAAACCAGATTGTCGGAGTCGGACGAAGAAGCGGAAGGATAAACCAATCACAATGCTCGTTCCCACGCTTTGTGATTGGTTAAGTGTTTCTGCATCTGCTGACGACTCGGACAGTCTGGTTTTCGCTAGATCATAAGCGGAACGTAAGCGACGGAGTCGTAAACGGAATCGGAACGCTGTTTTCACTAGATCATAAGCTCTACGCTTCTGATTACGACTCCGACTCCGACTCCGACTCCGTCGCAGTGAAAACCAGCCTTAGGGGAGTAAATTCTGAAAAAAATCGCTAGACATCCGTGGAAATTTTTTTGGTTTTGATTTTTCCCCATTTCGATCATCTCCGGAGTACCCCCTCCCCCTTGGTATATCTAAATTGATCTACAAATGCACCTCTATCACTCATCTCTTTATTTCTGGGGATAGGAATGGTTAGGACTAGCTACAAAACTAAGAATAGAAAATATTAGCCCGCTGCGTCCCAATACGGCGCCAATTATAGACCTTATTGTGAAGAATTATTTGAATTAGTATAGGTAGTCCTAGTTACCTCTATTACCTAATTTTTGTATTCAACAACTATTGGATGAGAGTGAGTATGATATGTATAATGGTGAATTTGCTGTAACGCTCTTCTTAGACCCTAGTAAAATTTTTGATACCATAAATCATTCCA